GACAAGAGATACTTCTGTCTCAAGAGCTCCCCCGAATTTATTATCATTAATGGAAGTTGTCGAGGTTAAAAACACTTGCCAAAAGATGATCAATCCCCTGGAATGTACATCCCACCTCTTGACCCCAGAGATAAAACTCCAGACTTAAGAACTTTGCCCTGGGAGACGAAATGACGGGTTCCAAATGATTGTGAGGAAAAGTTTTAAATTAAACACAAATAAAGTTCAACTGTCAGGCACAGCAAACCAGGGGCCAGGAAAGAGTTCAAAAGCACTGCAAATTTATTCCATGCAACCTATACCAAAGAATCTGATTTACTAATAACCACAATTTCCAGAAGCAAGTCGTTCCACTGGTAAATTGTTCTCAGGAAATTTCTCCTTAGTTCCAGGTTGCTTCTCTCCTTGATTAGTGTCCACCCTTTGCTTCTTGTCCTGCCCTCAGATGCTTTGGAGAATAGGTTGCCCCCCTCTTCTTTGTGGCAATCCCTGAGATACTGGAACACTGCTCTCATGTCACCCCTAGCCCTCTGTGTGTGTGTGTGTATATATATGTGTGTGTCTTTGTAACAGAATAACAGAATAGCCAAGTTGGAAGAGACCTTGAAGGTCATCTAGTCCAACTCCCTGCTCAGGCAGGAAACCCTATACCATTTCAGACAAATGGCTGTCCAGTCTCTTCTTAAAAACTTCAGTGTTGAAGCATTCACCTCTTCTGGAGGCAGGTTGTTCCACTGGTTAATTGTTCTCACTGTCAGGAAGTTTCTCCTTAGATCTAGGTTGCTTCTCTCCTTGATCAGTTTCCAGCCATTGTTTCTTGTTCTGCCTCCAGGTACCTTGGAGAATAGCTTGACTCCCTCTTCTTTGGGGCAGCCCGAGATCTCGGAACACTGCTATCATGTCCCCCCTCATCCTTCTCTTCATTAAACTAGACATACCCAATTCCAGCAGCTGTTCCTTATATGCTTTAGCCTCCAGTCCCCTAATCATCTTTGTTGCTCTTCTCTGCACTCTTTCTAGAGTCTCAACATCTTTTTTTACATCGTGGTGACCAAACCTGGATTCTCTATTCCCAGTGTGGCCTTACCAAGGCGTTGTAAACTGGTATTAATACTTCACGTGATCTCGATTCTATCTGCAATCATGTCACCCCCGGTCCCTCTTTTCACTAGACCAGACATACCCAATTCCTGCAACCATTCCTCATATCTATGTTTCACTGACAAATGCATAACAGCCAACCCTCACTTGCTAATGCTCAATGACCTTCTGGCCGTTTAAATATTCCCATTAGCAGTAAGAGATAAACCCAGAGGAGTAGCTCAGCCAGTTCATCACCAGGCCTTCAGTCAGCATCCAAATGTGCATTTATTCAATCCCTAATCCCAACACCTACAACCCACTTATGGCCTAGATTAACACACACTCCGCTAAAAAAAATTACACAGCACCTTCAGGCTTGGCTTAGTACAGTGGTTCTCAACTTTTTAATGCCGCGACCCCCAACCGGTCGTAAGTCGAGGACTACTCAACCGGTCGTAAGTCGAGGACTACTCAACTGGTGCAGCACCGTTTGCAGAATGGGACTTTTGGCAGGCTCAGCAGGGCAGAGACAGCCTGGACAATTCCTGTTGGTTTTTGAAAGCCAATAGAATTAGACTCTATTCAAGAGAGTCAATTCTATTGGCTTTCAAAAGCCAATAGAATAAAAGAGAGTAGCACAGCTAAGGAAAAGGGGGGAAAAATGGCGGATTGCGTTGTTTGGCAACCCCCGTGAAATGGTCGTTCTACCCCAAATGGGATCCCGACCCACAGGTTGAGAACCACTGGCTTAGTAAGTCACGCAGACGCAGCCATTGCAACCTGTAAAATCCTGATTGATGGGCTAGTATGGTGAATGAAGCCAACCCCTTGAGGCCGATTTAACAACACACACCGCGAAGGAAGCAAACACAGGCTTAGGAGGAAGGGTAGAGCCAGCCATTCAACCCTGCCCTCAAGTGTGACGTTCTCGTGGTTTAATTTTGAAAATGCGGGGCCAGAATCCTCACGCAACACTGACCAAGTCTTAAGCAGGAGCTTTTCCCCCCACCCCACTGCTCTGCAAGTCCTGCTAAGTGGCATCACGACAGACAGTCTCCCCAAATCCTGCCCAGATGCCCGGAACCGTCTGCTATCTTCACACCTGCTAAAATGTCCTTGATGTCAAGACTGCTAACATCGGATGTTCTTGCCTGCCATCCATGAAGAAGCAAACCTGTTTTATTTAGCCTGTATAGCACTTCTAGAGTTAAAGCAGATCGTAGTAGTCTAGGGGATGGGAAAGTATGCAAGTTAATCATAACAATGTCTGAGCACAGTGTGGCCAAGGTCAGCCCAGCTGCAACGGGAGGGGCACTTCACACTTCACATTCATTGGAGAATGTGATTGATGACTGTAAAATGAAGGAATGAGTTATGCTTTGTTACGGGTGTTTGGGGGAGGGAGGATTCAGGTTTTGGCTTAACTTTGTTAGTGCCGAAGCTATGCAGAATAATAAAATAATTCTTTTTAGAGGAATAAGCCTCAAAATTCTTTGAAAAGCTGCTTCCTTTCGGAACCATGACACTTGAAAGTTTTCCAGAAACTTCCGTAGAACTGGAGAGGTTTCGTTTCTCTAACTAACCCAGTCGAAAGCAACACCTCCCCCCACCCTTACTCTAATGGCAAGATGAAAACAGAATGACACATGGCTCCCAACTTTTCACCCTTGACAAGTAGTCGGTGGAACTCCTTGGGGTTGAGCTGATGCCGGCACAGGGACCGTCTCGGAAGCCTTAATAAAGACTCCTTTGCACCCATGGGGTGTGCGTGAGTGGGATAGCACAGGATCTTTCAGAGTACTGACAATATTTATGAGGTGGCTAGATTACAGCCTTCGGGACATCTTTCCATGCAGGAAACAAAAATGTGAAGCTGCAAAGAGAAGATCACTGCAGGGACATGCAGTGTAAATTTCTTTAATAAATAAAGATATTGATAGACGATCATAACCGTAGATCGGGATTGAACTGTGTGGGGTCCTGGGTGCTCTCTGAGCTTTGCTGCTTCCTTGCAGACGTTTCCAGCTGGCTTTTGTGACTAAGGTGGGACTAGAATTCCCCCTCTTGGTGACAAGCACAAACAGGAAAGTTCAACACACTGAAAGAGGAAATGAATCAATTGCAGATGGCCACCTTAAGCTTTGGCAAATTGAGATGGACTGGAATCGGACCCTTGCACTCAGCAACGTTTGCTGCCTAGGATGTGAGAAACCATGACGAAATTGTGTTGTTTTCATACAAGTCGTCGGCGACTTACAAGTTCGTTTAGTGACAGTTCAAAGTTACTGAAAAAAAGGACTTACGGCCGTTTTTCACAGTTACGACCTTTGCAGCGTCCCCATGATCATGTGATCAAAACTCGGACGCTTGGCAACTGACTCATACTTATGACGATTGCACTGGCCCCGGGGTCATATGATCCCCTTTTGTGACCTTCTGACGAACAAAGTCAAGAGGGAAGCCAGATTCACTTAACAACTGGGGCAAGCAAGGTCATAAAATGGGGCCAAACTCACTTAAGAACCATTTTGCTAGCAATGGAAATTTTGGGTTCAATTGTGGTCATAAAGCGAGGACTACCTGTTATACGAATTCAATATTCTAACCCTTTCACCCAACTCTCAGTACACTTCGGATGGACAAAAACTTTGCTTTTTTAAAAATAAAAATAGTTTGGATAGAAAAAAGTGAGATCAGCTGCAGCCAGGGTGAAAGCTGTCAACTGCCAACTCCTACGCCCAGCCTCTTCCTACCGTCCACTGGACTGCCAGCTGGTTCAGCTCAACAGCTCGCCAGTGTTATTGGAGGCATACAAAAGAAAACTGGACTTCAGAAATGTTGCATTTAAAAAGCTGGGAAGTGGAAGTGTGGCGGGAGGGAATAAAGGAGGGAAAGAGGAAGGGAGGGAGGAGATGAGGGAGGGAGGGATAGGGAGGGAGGGAGGGAGGGAGGGGAAGGAAGGAAGGAAGGAAGGAAGGAAGGAAGGAAGGAAGGAAGGAAGGAAGGAAGGAAGGAAGGAAGGAAGAAGTTCAATTGTTATTGGAATTTCAAAGAGTTCAAAAGAAGGAAGGAAGGAAGGAAGGAAGGAAGGAAGGAAGGAAGGAAGGAAGGAAGGAGTTCAATTGTTATTGGAATTTCAAAGAGTTCAAAAGAAGGAAGGAAGGAAGGAGTTCAATTTTATTGGAATTTTAAACAGTTCATAGGAAGGAAGGAAGGAGTTCAACTGTTATTGGAAGGAAGGAAGGAAGGAAGGAAGGAAGGAAGGAAGGAAGGAAGGAAGGAAGGAAGGAAAGAAGGAAGGAAGGAAGGAAGGAAGGAAGGAAGGAAGGAAGGAGTTCAACTGTTATTGGAATTTAAAAGAGTTCGAAGGAAGGAAGGAAGGAAGGAAGGAAGGAAGGAAGGAAGGAAGGAAGGAAGGAAGGAAGGAAGGAAGGAAGGACCCATTGAAACACTTGACCAATCCCACGGTCCGCCATTTCTCACCAGATTCAAGCCCTCCAGAACTTCTGCGAGAGTCGGGGTCGGCTGCAGAAGAACACGGGGTACCATCTCCCCTAAGGCGAATCTGACGGAGGACAAGTAAGCAAGAGAGCCGGGAGGGAGCAGGCCATACAGTGTTTTCCTAATACGCAGAATTATTATTTTTGCGTGCGTTCTTCTATTCTTTCTACCTTTGACAAATCTCTCCTGCGCAGCAGCAAGACAACATCCTGGGAACAGGTGGGTGGCCGTTTCAAGCTCCTATGAGCCCCCGCTGGCAGCCCCCTCGGATTGCTTCTGAATGGCTGCACACGGAGAATGTGTGCCCAAGCCATAAATCAGGGCAATTAATTTCTTCCTGGTTGGCTTTTTTAATTCCACACCGTCCATTCCTCACTCCCACCCCCATTGTACACACGCACACACAGAAAGGATATCTTCCCTCTCTCGGATGATGAGCTCGTTCTGATCCTCCAGTTGTCTGATCTTCTTCTCAAAGGCCTCTTGCTCGGCTTTCAGCCGCTCCTCCGTCACCTCTTTTTCCTCGCTCACTCTGGAAAAGATGAAAAGGACTCAGCACGCACACACAATCAGACAAATACCGGGCACCAACAAAACACCGTGGATTTGGATCAGGACTAGCCTGAAGCCCCTCTACCTCCCACCTCCCACATTTTCACGATTCCTGCTGCTTCTGCTTGTCATAAATAGAAGGGGCCAATCAAGGGGTTGGTTTGATTGTGTTGCTGCTGCCATGGGGGGGGGGGGGAGTGTGTGATTTTTATAGTGTGGATATTTAATGTTACTTGTGAGTTGGGGGGGTGTCATCGTGTAAATTTGTTTAATAAAGATACCGATTTGTTGTTATTAGTTGCAAAGTCGTGTCCGACCCATCGCGACCCCATGGACAATGTTCCTCCAGGTCTTCCTGTCCTCCACCATCTTCTGGAGTCCATTTAAGTTCACACCTACTGCTTCAGTGACTCCATCCGGCCATCTCATTCTCTGTCGTCCCCTTCTTCTATTGCCCTCAATCTTTCCCAGCATTAGGCTCTTCTCCAGTGAATCCTTCCTTCTCATTAGGTGGCCAAAGTACTTGCGTTTCAACTTCAGGATCTGGCCTTCTAAAGAGCAGTCGGGGTTGATCTCTTCTAGGACTGACCGGTTTGAACGCCTTGCAGTCCAAGGGACTCGCAGGAGTCTTCTCCAGCACCATAGTTCAAAGGCCTCCCTTCTTTGGCGCTCAGCCTTTCTTATGGTCCAACTTTCACAGCCATACATTGCAACTGGGAAAACCATGGCCTGGACTATACGCACTTTTGTTGGCAGGGTGATGTCTCTGCTTTTTAGTATGCTGTCTAGATTTGCCATAGCTTTCCTCCCCAGGAGCAAGCGTCTTTTAATTTCTTGGCTGCAGTCCCCAACTGAGGTGATCTTTGAGCCCAGAAAAATAAAATCTGTCACTACCTCCATTTCTTCCCCATCTATTTGCCAGGAACTGAGAGGGCCAGATGCCATGATTTTGGTTTTCTTAATGTTGAGTTTCAAGTCAACTTTTGCACTCTCCTTCTTCACCCGCATCAAGAGGCTCTTTAGTTCCTCTTCACTACCAATAGAAGATACCGATAGAAGATCAGATACCGATAGAAGATCATAATTGTAAGCTCGGGGTTGAACATTGTGAGGTGCTGGGTACTTTCTGAGCTTTGCCGTTTCCTTGCGGACGTTTCCAGTTGGATTTTGTGACTAAGGTGAGACTAGAATTCCACCTCTCCTGGTGACTGGCCCACCCAACTGGCTTTCATGCCTAAGACAGGGCTAGAACTCAATCTCCTGGTAATTGGTCGAAAATCACCCAGCTGGCTTTCAAGTCTAAGGCAGGACTCACAATTTTCTGGGGATTGGCCCAAAGTCAGTTGGCTTTTATGCCTAGAGTGGAACTAGAACTCACTGTCTCCTGGTGATTGACGCAAAGACACCCAGCTGGCTTTTGTGCCTAAGGCAGGACTAGAACTCACAGTCTCCTGGTGATCGGCTGAAAGTGACTCAGTTGATTTTCATGCCTTTTCAAAGCAGGACTAGAACTCATAGTCTCCTGGTGATTGGCTGAAAGTGACTCAGTTGATTCTCATGCTTTTCCAAGGCAGGACTAGAACTCCCCATCTCCTGGAGATTGGCTGAAAGTGACCCAGCCGGCTACCCAAACTGGCACCTTCCATATTGAGAGCAAGCTGCATGACGACTGCTGGAACTATAACTCCCAGAATTTCCAGGCGCCAGGGATTCTGATCCTAAGACATCAAGATGGTACTGGGAAGTGGAAAGTGGTTTAAGAATCTCCTCTGGCAAAGCTCGTGCTAGCATTTTTTGCTATTTAGATGTTTGCCACCTGAAATTTTTTAATAAAAATAATAATAAAGGGGGGGATAAACGTAATTTTTTTTTGTACCACCACAGAGATTAGAGCAACATCTGAGGCCCAGTCCAAACAAGGCTGTTGGATATCAAGGTCAAATTAGCTGTATTCACTCCCATCCCTAAACTTGGGAGAGGCTGGCCTTAGTAAGTTGTGTAAATCCAGCTACTGTTGCATGTAAATAGTGGTGTTTTACGCTATTCAGCAATGCATGAGTGAGAGAGAGAGAGAGAGAGAGACAGTTTGGTCTAGTACCGTACTTTCTGGTGTATAAGATGACTTTCGCAAGCATTAAAATTGGCGTCGAAGTCACAGGTCGTCTTATACACCGAGTCGTCTTATATGCCAGAAATACAGGTAGTTTCCGACGTATAAGACAACTTTTTAGGCATGTGACTCGGCGCCGAAGACGGGGGTTGTCTTATACGCCAGGTCGCCTTATACGCCGAAATATACGGTAGTTACGGCATCAGGCCAAAAATCAGAAGATGGTAAATTCTAGTCAGTGATGGGATATCTACAACTTCTGCAGGCAAACCGTTCCATTGATTAATTGTTCTGTCAGGAAATTTCGCCTTAGTTCTAGATTGGATCTCTCTTTGATTAATTTCCATCCATTGTTTCTTTTCTTGCATTCTGGTGCTTTGGAGACACAGGTTGACCCCTGTCTTCTTTGTGGCAACCTCTGAAATATTGGAAGATTGCTATCATGTCACCCTGGTCCTTCTCTTCATTAAACGAGACATACCCAATTCCAGCAACTGTTCCTTATGTTTTAGCCTCCATTCCCTTGATCATCTTTGTTGCTCTTCTCTGCACTCTTTCCAGAGTCTCGACATCCTTTTTATATTGTGGTGACCAAAACTGGACGCAGTATTCCAGGTGTGGCCTTAGGTATTAACCCTTTACGTGCTCTTGATTCTATCCCTCTGTTAATGCAGACTAGCATTGATGGTGAGTTCTAGTCTTGCCTTAGGCAGGAAATCCAGCTTGTGATTCTCAGGCCAACTACCAGGAGATCGTGAATTCTAGTCCCACCTTAAGCATGAAAGCCGGCTGGGTGACTTTGGGCCAACCACCGAGAGACTGCGAGTTCTAATCCCGCCTTAGGCATGAAAGCTGGATGGGTCACCTTGCGCCAATCAATCTCTCTCAGCACAACTCACCTGCCAGAGATGTTATTGTTGTGAGGAAAATAAAAGGAAGGACTGTTAGGTAGATTCGCCACTTTGACTTGTTTATTAAAAATAAGAAAGGTGGGATAGAAATAAAGTAAGTAAGCAAATAAGTTTGCAGCAGGGGAGACCTTTAGTCAGCTTTCTGTGATCTCTTGGAGACAATGAAGTAACACACTTTGAATAAAGAGACATTCTTCCACTTCACAAAACAACAAGCGGGAAGGAAATTCTCAGCCTTCCACATTATCACACCCAGTTTATCCTCACCTTGCAAGCTCCTTAATTAAGTTTGCGATGCGTCTTTTGTCTTCAGGGCATAAATCCTTTAAAGAAGCACTTTTCGGTTCTCCCTTGTCGGGCCCCTAAAATTTAAAAATCAACATTTACAAAAAGAACTTATTAACGTGGAAAAGAATTGACAATACATGTATTTCAAGCACGAACGGCTGCAGATTCAGCTGCAGATTCAGCCATACTTGAACAGACAAGTGGGAAAAAAAAGACACATTTTTACAAACAAGTACAGGGATAAACTTCCCAAATGTTGCTCTGGAAGAGTCACTGTTGGCATTTGCTTCTACAAATAAGCTTCATCAAGGACTGGAAGGAAGGAAAAAGAGAAGGACTGTGATATTTGGAGGGGCCTCAGAAATGGGGCTTTGGGCAGGGGGTGCAATCCTATTTTTAACCTTTGGGAATTTATCATCTGTGGCTAATACGTTTTTGTTGGTTTTTTTTGCCAGAAGCAGCAATTGCTTCTGAAGATCTGAGGTATTACAAGGCTTTTTGAAATGCAAATTACAACTGGAAAAAAAAAGGGTAAAAGTACATTTTGGATATGTAAAGAAAAAAAAATGAACGATTCAAACTCCCCAAATGACTTCCAAACAAGCTCTTATATACAGCGTTTGATTGCAGGGTGAAAACCTAATAAAATTTCATCCCGTAATTCAAGCTGCAAATTCCAAAACATACTAAGCGTCATTGCAACGTCCCATTCTGCTCCTGGGATGAGTCTTTAGGCCTCACACTGCTCACCAAATTGCTAGAGCATCAAAAATTCAGAGTACCTGTAGATATCTAATACTACATACATTAACAGCAGCAAGAATTGTATTTGCCCAACATTGGAAAAATGAAAACCTACCAACTGAAGAAGTACTAATTAAGAAAATTCTAGAGTGTGCAGAAATGGGTAGACTGACTTTAGAGATTAAAGAGACAGAAGACTTAGTGTACTTTAGAACCTGGGATAATTTCTATCAATGGCTAGAAAAACCAGTCAGAGAGAAAGGGATGTGATATGTAAGTTTGAATGTATATTAGCATATTATATTAGCTTTTTGCTAGTCAGCTAACTAAGGTATGTAGGAAGCACATCACAATAGTAATGGGGGACTTTAACTATCCTGACATCAACTGGGAGACAAACTCCGCACCAAGTGGAAGATCAAACAGGTTCCTGGCAAACCTAGCAGACAACTTTGTCTCCCAAAAAGTAGAGAATGGAACTAGGGGATTAGCCATTTTTGATCTAATTCTCACTAACAGAGATGAAATGATAGACGGTGTTGGAGCCATAGGAACCCTGGGAGGAAGTGATCATGCAATATTAGAATTCAACATTATAGAAGCACAACCAATAGAACACAGTCAAACTAGAGTCTTGGACTTCAAGAGAGCTAATTTCAATAAACTTAGAGAGGGCTTGGGAAGGATCCCATGGATGAGAATCCTCAAGGGGAAAACAACTCAAGAAGCTTGGGAAATTTTGAAAAATGAGATAATAAAAGCACAGTCTAGCACAATACCAACAAAGAGGAAAAATAACAGCTATCAAAAGAAACCAGCATTAGGTTTGGTCTCTGCTGGGATGCTGCAAGCTGAATGGCAACGTCGAACGGAGGTTAAAGAGCAGAGAATGACTCGTGCAGCTTATAGACGCAAAGAGAAGGAGCAACGTAAGAAAGAGGCTAAAGAAGTTTCTTCTGAAAGTGCATCATTGCCGGTGGGAGGAGCAAGACCCAAGAGTTATGCAACACATGCAGCAATGGCAGATCTCCAAGGTGTCTTCTCCGGGCTCCTGGCTAAGGGAGATGGCAAAGTTTCTGACCTGGAATGTTAACGGATTGAATTCTCCTCAGAAAAGGAAAAAAAATCTTCTATTATTTGAAGCAACATAACAATGATGTTATTTGTTTACAGGAAACTCATATTTTACTTAAGGATCAGAAATATTTAGTTAATGCTCGTTTGGGATCTCATTTTGTATCTTCTGCTCCGGGGAAAAAGGGGGGAGTTGTTATCTACGTGAAGCAAAATTTACCAGCTTGTCTGGTAGAATCGGATCCCCAAGGAAGATATGTGATGATTGAACTTGGCTTATATGGTAAGAAAGTACTTATAGTGGGACTTTATGCACCAAATCAGCAACAGGAACAATTTTATAGGTTGTTACATCAAAAAATAACTTTGCTGGACTATAGATCCGTGGTATTAATGGGTGATTGGAATGGTGTCTTAGATACACAAAGGGACAAGAAAGGTTCTTCTCCTTTTTTTAAACATGCAAAATTACCTAAAGCCTTTTTTGACATGAAAGAGGACTGGGAACTAAGGGATTATTGGCGGGAATGTAATCAAGAGGAGAGAGATTTCACCTTTTTCTCAGATAGACACCAATCCTTCTCAAGAATTGACTTTTTTTTTATTACAACGGACTTATATAATAGAGTAAAAAATGTAAAGATTTTTCCTAGGTAGCTAACGGATCATAGCCCAGTTTGGATGGAGCTGACTCAAGAAAAAGAGGATAGAAGATCTTGGAGAGTGAATGAAAATTTATTTAGACAAGAAAAGAATGTTCAAAAGTTAAAGGAGTGTTTAAAGGATTATTTTGCTTTAAATATGTATAAGGGGACTTCAATGTCAATGGTATGGGATGCAGGTAAAGCATTTATGCGTGGTATTTTGATAAAAATGAACAATTATCATAAGCGAAAGCAGACTCAGAAACGTAAAGAATTGGAAGATGAAATTAAATTAAAAGAAAAGTCCTTGATTTTAAATCCTTCTGATGAAAATATTAAAGAATCTGTAAAGTTATTAAGGACACAATTTAATATGTTGTTAGCAGATCAAGCTGCAACCAACTTATTGTTTATGAAACAAAATACATTTTGTAATGCTAACAAGCCAGGGAGATGGTTGGCTTACCAGCTAAGAAAGAAACAGAGACAGAGAATAATAGATAAAATAAATTATCAGGGTAAATTAGTTTCTCAGAAGGAATTGATTAAGAAATCTTTTTTGGAGTATTACCAAAAATTATATAAATCTACCAATGTTCAAATTTTAGATATAAATAAATACTTAAATGAGGCTAGTTTTCCCAAATTGACAGAGGATCAGAAGCAGGAAATTAATGGCTTAATTACTAAGGAGGAAATTGCGTTAGCAATTCAGCAATTGAAACCAGGGAAAGCACCGGGTACGGATGGGTTAACAGCTGTTTATTATAAAGCTTTAATGGAGGAGATGATTCAGCCATTAGGTAATCTTTTTAATGATATTCTACAGGGTCTAGAGATTCCTCCTTCATGGCGTAGTGCTTTTATATCACTGATTCCAAAAGAGGATCAAGATCTTACTTTACCAAAGAATTATAGGCCTATATCTCTTCTAAATGTGGATTATAAGATATTTGTAAAAATTTTAGTAAATAGGCTTATGAGGGTTGTGCATCATCTTGTGCATAAAGATCAATTTGGGTTTATAACTGGAAGGTATATGAAAAATAATGTTAGACAAATTATTAACTTATTAGAATATTTAGATAAGAACAACCAAGTCCCTGCAGGGTTGATATTTTTAGATGCTGAAAAGGCTTTTGATCAATTGAATTGGCATTTTATGTTAAGAGTAATGGAGGAGATGAATTTTGGTGAAAAGATAGTACAAGCTCTTACGGTAATATATCAAAAACAAACGGCACAACTTATTGTTAATGGAGGGTTGTCAGAGGTTTTCACAATAGAGAAAGGTACCAGGCAGGGATGTCCATTATCACCGTTGTTGTTTGTTTTAACATTGGAAATATTGTTAATCAAAATTCGAGAGTCGCAGGAAATTGAGGGAATAGAAGTTAATAAAAAAGAATATAAGTTAAGAGCTTTTGCGGATGACTTGGTGGTTACTTTGTCGCAACCTACTCATTCTGTAGTAAAGTTATTACAATTGATTCATTATTATGGTTTGGTCTCGGGCTTTAAGATTAATGTTAACAAGACTAAAATTTTATCTAAAAATATGACTAGCCAGGAGAAGCAGACCTTGGTTAATTTGACGGGTTTTGAAATTGTTAATAAGGTAAAATATCTGGGGGTGATGTTATCTGTTTCTAATGCAAAACTATTTAAAAATAACTATGAAAGGTTGTGGGTTAGGGTACAGAAAGACTTGAAGAATTGGGAGAAGTTGCAATTATCCCTTATGGGAAGAATTGCAGTGATAAAAATGAATATTCTACCCAAGTTTCTCTTTTTGTTTCAAATGCTACCGATTTTGAAGAATGAGATTAATCTAAGCGAATGGCAGAAAGGCCTTAACAAATTTATTTGGGCAGGGAAAAAGCCAAGGGTTAAGTTTAAAATTATGCAAGACTTTCGTGAGAGGGGTGGACTCAAGGTACCGAATTTGAAATTATATTATGATGCGGTGGTTTTAACACTAATTAGTGATTGGGTAAATTTGACAAATCCTGAGATACTCCATCTAGAGGGATGGGATTTACTTTTTGGATGGCATGCCTATTTAATATTTAACAAAAAGATGGACTGGGTTTTTAAATCTCATATTTTAAGAATTTCTTTACTTAGGACTTGGAGAAAATATTATAAAAGTGATTTTAAAGTACCATTATGGGCTATACCTTGGCATGCAATAGAAGGAATAAAAAGGGGTGCTAAAATGGATATGGTGTCTTATAGACAGTTACTTAGATGGGATGGACAAAACTGGCAGTTAAAATCACGGGAAGAGTTAGCACAAGAAAATATTATTTATTCTTGGTTCCAATATAGGCAATTAGTAGATAGATGGAAGGTGGATTGTAAGGTGGGTATTCTTAGAGAAGATGAAAATTTTATTAAGCAAGTGAAGGATCAAAGACAAACCCACATTAAGAGGATTTATGGGATTTTAGTTGAATTGGATTCAGAAACGGAACTAATTAAAGATTGTATGATCAGATGGGCGCAGAACTTTGGTGAGCCAGTTTCATTGGACACCTGGGAAACCATCTGGGTCAGAAATGTCAAATTTACACAAGCACAGAACTTAAGGGAGAATTTTTATAAAATGT